TACTAATCGAAGATATGCAGATTTTATAGAGTGGTCTGAAGTTTCGTTCTGGCTGCTGCAAATGTTTAAATAAAAGAATGATATTTCAATAATCCATAATATTGAATAGGTGTCGCCGACTGTTTTCATTTTTTACAAGGGCTTGCCATAAAATATAAATGGAAGCGAAGTGGTTTCACTTTATGTTGCACTCTGGTCCGACTTGGCTTGATTTCAATATCAACCTGCGTCCAAGATCTTTCCATCTTCGTGGCAAATTTGGACCCAATTGCTACATTTTTAACATTACACAGGCAGACGGTTTAAAATTGGATGCTGATCAACAACATGTATACTTTGTAGGGTCTCTGAAGCTTCCCTCTGGGTGTAGCAAACTTTTTAACAAAATGAATGTACCCTTCATCCTTCGGTGATGGATGTAAAAACACATACACACATCGTGGTATAATTCGTTGTAAAAAAGTGCCAAAGGGAGAATTAATATAAAAAACTCCATCCCAAACGCTTTATTTCGTAGCGAAAGCATGGACGACTTATCGCTCTGAGAAACTTACAGCCCCTAAGCGGTCGTCGCGATAAAGCTACAACAATGTATCTTCGCTTGGAAACACTTTTAAATGAAAATAATTAAAAACACCTCTTATGGTATTGCACAACTTAGACAGCAACTGGTAGGATAGACTGTAAGTTAGCAAAAGGAATTAATTTGACATAGGCAGATCGTTTAAAGAAGAGCTAGAAATTTTAAAGAAAAGATTCTTTTCATGAGCTTTTCCCCCAGGGTTAGAGGATTCAAAATATCTCTTAAGTCAATAAAAAGAAATTCTCTGAAAAATGTTCACTGAAGTTAATTACCCTTAAATTTTAAACAGCGAATGAAAAACATAACATGTACTGCAACGAGTGTAATGTTTAAAATTTTACAAATTTCCAAAAAGTTAACAATCTATATATACATATAGCTTCCTAAAAGACAAAACATTTATGTCTTACAACATATCAGATACACTTCATAAATATTGTAACAAATCCCAACAAAAAAAAAAAAATATATATATATGAAAGAAATATCTATTAAAAATTTATATTCTCCTATACGTTTTAATTCAGGGAAAAGACAAAGTCTCGCTTTTTTTATATATATAGTCAGCCACACCATATGCTGACATCTGTTTCGGTAAAAGATAAAATGTAAATATTTACCCAAAAACTTTAAGGCTTTTTATTGTTTTACAATAAAGCTTGCCCTGCCCTTCGTTCAATTGGTTATTGCTCATGATTTTTACAAAAAGAAGAAAGTATGACGTTCGTACTTTGGTAGCATGATAACATTTACGATAACAAAAAATACAAAAAAAAGAAAAAAAGGAAAAAACGCATAACAAAGAGGTTCGATTCACTTTGAAACGAACTTTGAACACTCAGTGCCAAGACATGGTGCAATTGTACGATCATGAAATGAGCATAGGAGACTATGGAAATTCTTAAAGGTAGTCTATGAAGCTTAAATAAAAATATATTAGGTAACTATCAGGTTTTTTTTTATAAAGATCTCCAAAGTTTTTTCAGCCTGGTAACAGCAAGGCATAATTGTATTGTATTAGACTTTTTAACTGCACCAAAATGTATTTTCTGATTGCCTTTTATGGCGACTATAAACGAGGCAATAAAATAAATATATCGCCACCTTTTGCTTATGGGCTCAGAAATGAAAGAAAGAGGAAAAGAGAGAAATAAAAAGGGAGATAGAGGCAGAGAGATATATAAGGCTATTTTGTGCAATTTTTCCTATCCATTACCTGTTTATATACAAAGAAGAGCAAAGAAACAAAAGCACAAAAAAAATTCAGGGAAAGGAAAAGGGAAAGATTTTGTTGATAACTCCACATATCGCCAGTAGAAGAAAGAAAAAACTGTACACAACCGTGATAAAAAAACCGAAATCGCTAGCTCTACACTCCTACTATTAACAGTAAGTAAACGAATGCCATTCAAATTCCATAACCGGAACTGCGATAGTAAATCGACCAAAACCCTTGGTATGGCACTTTTCAAAACAGAGCCCGAGGATTTAGGCACAAATTAGGTACAATTGTGACAATTTTAAGATTGCAGTAGATATGAAAAAATATTATACGGCCGATTGTTATACGAAGAAATGGGCAATCAAAAAGCAAAAAAAAAACTATTCCTCTTATTATATCTACGCAATACTGCAGTAATATTGAGCATCTCTCTTTGAAATTTTGAAAATTTTTTTGCAAATATTGCGAAAGTAAATTGCCGCTTGACTACACCTACATGGTTTATATATATGCCCTTTGTTATCATGTTAGCTGGCAACGTCAAATTTAAAAAAAAAAAAAATCCCCCACCAGCACTTAATTTGTATTTTGGGTAACTTTCGTGGCGTTCCCCTTCGCTTTCTTTCACAAAGTCGTGTAACATTTTTTATCGATTTTTAATATCAATGTCGCCCAATTAACATGGCTATGATATCAGTCTCCCTACCTTGCTGCACTTCTTTTCATTTCTTTTTTGTTTTTGTTGTAATTAAGTAGAGAAATACAAAGTAATTTAAATCGATTTCGATATATCTTTGCGAGTGTCACACACACTATATGACCAAATGAATATGCTTCTCTTTGGTTAATGGACATAGGATTACTTTAATTTTCCCGTAACGTCCTGCGAGGAGAAATAAATAAAGTTATTTCTGTTTTTGTTCTTCATCGGCTTATTAACTTTCCTTTCATTGTCTTTAGATTGTTTGCAAACATATTTAAATTGTTATTGCCTATGCACGATGAGATTATAGTCAACTGCTTAGTGTATAATGGTTAAGTTGTTTGTTTGTTAAATATTTAATTTTCTGCTCATGTTACTTTTCCATAAGGACAAAAAATTCAAAAAAAAAAAAAAAAAGAAAAGAAAAATTCAACGGTATTCCTTGTTGCTAATTACTAATTAATGTTAGAATTTGTTTTGCAAATTTTTAATCTTTCTTCGTAAAGCTTTTTGCTTGATAAAAATTGTTTAAAAACAAAAATGTAGGCCAACGAAAAGTTTCCTAATCCTCAGCGGAATTAAATTTGTAAACTTTAAAAGATAGTAAAGTATTTTATACCCTCTTCATGACAACATGTTTGTGTAATTCTAAAGATAAGTTTATTTTCAAAAAAAAAATTGTTTTTTTTTGGCTAATTGCCAAAACAGACAATAATAAGTAAACGCTTCACACTGTATGAAAAAAAGTGGTTATATCTTTATATATAAAAAACTGAAAAATACATTTTAATTTCAACCATTGAAGAATATTTCTGTGTTCATGTTCTCTATTATACGTATGGAAGCACACGTTTGCATATACTTGATCAGCATGAAATTATTAAAGGGGTACATTAGCCTGAATTCACTAAGTAAAGGAATATATATATGTACATAAATTTCCATATAGATACGTACATACATATTGTATATATGTGTAGAGCAGTTAAAGGCGTATGATTATGGTTCCGTCGTTTTTTCCTTCCAACATTTACGGCTCTATTGTAAAAGACTTGCTACACATTTACCATTGAAAATGTTAGGCGCTATTTCTAATCCCTTTTAGAAATAACATGAATTCCCTGTAGAAGGCACAACAGGTTTTTTAAGGATGTCATTATAAGAGTGAAAGCGCTATTCGAAGAAACGGCAAGTCATCGGTTGTATTTTGTGTTAATCGAAAGGCTTAGTATTGGCTGATAACAGCAGGGAGGACAGGGCATTCCAGATTAGAACTGCAAACACTTCCTGAGCAAATATTGCTAAATGGGGCCAACTTTCTTCATTCTCAAGGGACGCAATATCATGACTTTTGGCACATCATGTCCATTATAAACGTATTGAAAAAAAAATTACATTTGGATACATCATAATATTGGGTAGACGTGGTCAAATCATCTCATTTTTATACACGTCCTGTCTGGAGATCCCTTACAATAAACGTTTAAGTTTTTGTAGATTTATCTACTGCAGTTTATGAGTAATGGGTAAAAACCATTTTTTTTTTTTATTCTTTTTGAAATGCAAAGATATCCTCACTTTAAGCAGTACTGCGGGCGTGTCCTTCGAACGATTTGGACTATTTTCAAACCAACCTCCGTGCAAGAACTTTAAAGGTTTTTAGCAAATTCGCCGATAGCTTACTTTTACAGGCACGAGAATATTTACAACAAACATAAGACGAACAGAAAAATGATTCTATGTCTAGTGAACATCGTGCCATTGTTCTGAAAAATATAAAAACAAAAGACGGTCGATTTGATGTTTTTCTTTTCATATGGAAAACGAAAGTAAAAAAAAATCGGGCATAGAATTGAAGTCATGTCACAAAAAATCAAGTAACCAGTTAACTTTTATGCGCGTACAAATCCTTTGGGAGCAGTGGGTGTATTTCCTTCCACTAAAGAGACAACTCCCTTTATTTAGGAAGCCATTTGCTCAAAGATAAACATCATACCACATGCACGGCACGTCACTCTGGGTTCAATGTTTTCGTAATATGTTTAACGATTTCGGTCAGGTGTGTTTTTTCTTTTCCACAAACAATGCCACGCTTTAAGCAATATACTGGAGAAGAAATTGGTTCAAAATTTCGATCAGAAATGTGTGTTGTTTACGTTCACTTTCGGAATCACAAAATGGATGACCCAACTCAAATTCATTTCCAAAGGCTACATTAAAATTTATTTCGATCCATTTTCTAGAAGACTGTCTGAAAAGGATATTTGAGATATTACTGAAATTTTATATAAATAAAATAAAAAATTTGCTTTACATTAAATTTTATATCTTGGCATTAAACGCTTTATTACTCATAAAACTGTACAATTTTCTTTAATTTTGTTTTTTTTTTGGGGGGGAGGGGGGATAAAATCTAAATACATTTTATTGATTCCAATATGATTTTGAATATTTTTTTCAATATAAGCAGAAGATGTTTTTTTTTTTTTGGTATTTTATAGAATGAACTTATAGATTAAATTTTTACTCATTAATCTAATAATAATTTATATACATATAAGATTTGGTTGATTATTAGAACTTTAAACTAGCAAAAGATATGTTCAACTTGGAAAAATTTATACACCCGCCACCTCAAATAGGTTTTTTTTTTTATATATACTTGCAGGCGCTTCGTTTGTTTGGATTCTTTTCACTTTTAATATTTAGATTGGTTTTATAGACTTATTACTAAGTATCGCATACCTTTGCATCGCGGACGGATGGATTGATGATGAAACTTAACATAAACGCAAAATGAAAAGTTAGCATATCTGTTAACTAACGGGTGTTAGATGCGAAAGTTAAACAATAATTGCCTTTAATGAAATTGAAAATCAAGGAAAAATATATCCAAGAATCCATTTCATAAACCATAGAAAAGAAAGCTTATCCTAATGTGTGTTTTTCTTCGTTCTTTGGTTGGATTTTATTAAATTAATGAGATAAAATACAAAAAGTAAAGAAACTGCTATCGATAGGTGTATTTTTTTTATTAATAGGTTGATATGACTGCTGTGCACCGCTGTTGGATTAGTAACAGCAGCGTTTTTTCGCTTAAACAATCATGTTGTCAATGATGTTGCATAAGAATTTTCCAAAAGTGTTACGGTAATGAGTGTGACGTTACCAAGATCATAGGCAAATCCTTTAACAGGGGTCGTAATGTAGTCGAAGACGAACCTCGTTCAGAAAAACCTTAACTACTGATGAGAACAACAACGAAATAAACGAGCTAGTACTTGATTCACCCCAAAGAGATTTTGTGGATATTGTTTATATAGCAAAAGGGTGAATACAAACAATTTTGAAGGATGATTTGGGTTTGTCTCGCGTGTGTTCCCGTCTTGCTCAAAAGAATAGCTTTCTTTGAGTCGTAATAATCTAACATCGGGAAACAGTCTAACAATATAATGAGTATCGTTCTACAGGTGAGCCAAAAAAATGAACAAAATGCTTATCAACAGCAGTTCGAAAATCATACGAACCTAACAAAGAAATTTATATATCATTACCATAGCGCGGGTGTTTTAAAAATATTACTTTACTTCTTTTAATATAAAAGGCTGTGCGCAAACGTTGCACTCAGAGTCCACAATACTTTAAGCGTATCTTTCTATTACAAAAATTATGTACCGTTAAATAGTAAAAACTTTTGCTGGAAAGATAATTCATTTACAGATGATTGTTCAAAAAGATACTCTTCCAGTTCACTACGACTTATCTTAAAGCTTTCATTACCTAAAAATCATTTACTATCAACTCGTTTCTTGTAAAGTGAATGTTACTTAATTTAGTCGAGTCTGAGGCAAATAATCGCGTATAGAAGAATACAGACTGTAATAAAAGTTAAATCATTTCTCCAAGCCTGATTTAAACCACCAACTCTGCGATTATAGAAGAATGAAGGCAATGGACCTTTCGAGCTGGATTCGAACTAGCGACTTTGAACTATCATTCTTCCAGATGACCATCGGTCCACCAGCTAAGCAAGACGATCAATTAATTATCTTTAATGGTGTATGAATCGGTTAAGATGAAAACTTATTAACTTATTATTATTAGTGCTCAGCTCTAATCCATGCAGTTGAAATGGGCATTCGTAACTTCTTGGTTGCAGATTGTGTTCACTCAAAAAGCATATAATAAAACTGACCCCTTCTCAAGTAACCCAATCGAATATATGAAATGAATCGGTTCCACGGGGATCTGGACACCTGAAAATTGAAACGCAACAACTTGAACTCGCCACACTTGAATCAAAATTGGAGAGATATCCATAATATTCGAGGTTAATCCTCCTAACATTTACGTATCTAAGGCTTTTAAGATTAGAAACCAATCATCGTATTTCATTTCATTTTCTCAGATTCGTTAACTAATATATCTTATGAATAATGTTCCCTAACTGTCTACGTAATCCGAATTTTTTTTTATTATTTTATATTATTTTTGATCTTAAAAAAATATTCGATTCTTAAAAATGAGAAATTATTTTACGTAATATCTTTATACAGATATTTATTTCTTTTTTTCTTTTTGTCTTTCTTTGGCTTAGGAATCTATGGTTACTTTTATTTCGCTTGAACTATTTCTTGCTCTCTGGGTACGTTCCTTTTATATATAGATAAAATGTCCTAAACCCTTAGCTGGATTATTGTTGACCTCTTCTCCCAAAAGAGTCATTGTCTGAGTTTTTGCAACCTTAGGTTTTAACGTTATATTATCATTGGTCTCATCTAATGTTTCATACGGATTTGTTGCATCTAATATCATACGAGAGCCTCCTATTGTACGACTATCCGGTCTATAGAATTTTTCTGAGCCTCTATGGTAATTTGCCTCAAGATAAGCACTCGACTCAAAATCTAAATACTTTTTATCACTACCTAACGGCGAAAAAGAATGTGGTGTAGAACGTATTTCACGTATATTATAAACTGGATTGTAAGAGATAGATGCTTGTCTTTCGGTATTGTTTGGTTCCGCGGGATTTTTGAAACAAGCGTCACAAGATTTGTAACTGTTGTGACATTTCGTACAGATATCCCTTGTTTTCGGTATAACTGTAAGAGTGGAGGGAGTCCTTTGCACATTGTGCATAGCCTCATTTGAAGTATCTGAAGAGCCGGATATAGATGATGCACAATCTTCCTCTTCCGAGCTTGTCATAAGACTTTGCATGTCGTCGGATAATGATTCAATTGAGACATCTAAAAGACTGGTACTCTCATCTAACGACCCTAAGCTGCTATCAGTATCGAAGGATTTACTTGGGCAGGACGTATAATTTTTTACGACTTCATCGAGTGTGGTTAGTATCTGACGACGACGTAAATAGTTTGGGTTTCGTCTCACCAAAAAATGACAAATTTCCCCACGTTCAGCTCGTTTGGCTTGCGCTCTTAACGGCACATCATCTGGATGTAATTTACGTTGATATTCCTGTCCAGGACAAACCTGAAAAAAAATTAACGAATAAATATTACTATTTAGCGAAATGCACGCACAGTACCTCATATATAGAAAATTGTTCCACCGGTTCTGGAGAATTGTAGGATGATAGTAATAGCTGTAATAATTCATCTGATGTTGTTTCCTCGGAAATAACTAGAGATTTGTACTGGGAAGAAGGCTGCAACTCTGATGTATGGACACGTATTAAACCCCCTGGCTTGAGTTGCAAATAAAAGCGAGATTCTCCCTTCGGGTGGCATGCTTGCAATATAGCAGGGCGTGTATCATCGTCCAAGACTAGGACAGTTTTGACACCAGCACGACGTACAGATACTTCCATAGATAGGTAAAATAAACGTGGATCGCGGTGACGCATTTTTAATCTATATAAAGTGATAGTAAACAAGAGAATTATTTTCGGCAAAGATTAATGTACATTCAGATATATCATTGATCTAAAAGATTTTATCTCGCAGACATATATCGGCGGAACATCGTTCAATTAACAAATCCCCACTGGATTGTATAAAGGTTGTCAATAGAAAGAATTTTAAACCAAAAAAAAAAAAAAAAAAACCAAAAATTGAATTTTGAACGCACTAATGTTGAAAACTTAATCCGAAGTTAAGTTCCATTAAGACAAAACACAGTTTGTGTAAAAATACAAATCACTTTACATATTAATGAATTAAAAAAAAAAATTTACCCCCCAAAAAAAAAACCCCGAAATTGAAAGCAAGAAACTTTAGGAATTTCAAAAGATTGAAGACAAGAAAGGAAAAACCAGTGAAAACACAATCGTTAAATATCCTACAAGACCTCGCTTAATAGAGTTACTTATATAACGATTCTTCAAAATGAGGCATTATATGAGAATTAGTTAAAAAAATGGTCCTATCCAAACCATTTCCAATAGCATGAGTCCTTGGCCCAAAATATGTCAGTTTATAGAAAAAGAAGACGGACAGACAAATTAAGATCATGTTGGAAAGTTATTCAGAAAGTAATTCGGAATCGATCCGTATAATTAAAAATGGATCTATCTCTTAAACCTAATATTCCCTTGGACTACAAGTGGTGTAAGATATAAATTAAACGTTTTTGTGGGTAAATATATTTTTCGATTTTCGATTTCGAACCCCTCAAGTTAAGCACAATTAAATTTGCTCTTTATTACTAAACTTACCGTCTTAGCAGTTGCATTATGACATCCTTACTCGTCGTATCCCACTGTATACCTAATGTTTTATATTCGATATCAATTTTTAAACAGCTGGTAAATACTTTAATAGTCGTCTGAAAAACAAAAATCATTAAATTAAAACTTTTAAAAAATATCGTCATTACAGTGCATACTTGTGGCAAGTGATCACTTAAACTGGAATAACTCGAGGCGCGGGACGGTGTACGCGGTAAGTCGGTGCTTGGTTCAGGACTACCACACATCGATGAAGCACAAGAGTTATTGGAACGTAACGAAACCGAGTCGGAACGGTTACGTAACGGAGATATTTGAACATGTTTCAGCATCTGTAAGAAGATTTAAAATAAATTCATAAGGATTTCATACGGAAATGCAAGACTACGTTAGAAAGCAATTTTTAGGACAATGCTGGTGCTAAAGTTCAGTCAGAACGCGTAGAATTTATCGGAAATTGCCGTGAGAGAAACTTTCCTTGTTCACATGACCGTTGAAACTGGAAAAACGTGAGATACAGGTCGTGAATTATGCATAATAAAGTCACGTTTTTCGATCTCCTTATAGATATACAGATCGATTTTAAAGATTAAAATTTTGTTCAAATAACATCCCATTCATTTAAATATTTCATTTACAATTTTGGAACGAAGTAAAATTTTTCAACAACTTTTCATTCAGTGTGTTTCACGTAGGCGCTACATTGGAATCATCATAGTTCTCCCTAACTTTAATGGTGTTAGCGGGCCGATATGGTTCGCTTTCAAGTGAAAATTCTTCCTCGTCATATCTAATTAAGTTCGTAAGTCGTATGTTTTGTCAAGTCTTCTTTCTTCGTCTTGGGATCTTCATTTTGTCTAATTAAGGCCGTAAGTCATCCGTATGTAAACATTTACCATACGAGCATCTCGTTAGTTTAGTCTTTTTAGTTGCGGTTTAAGGGCTCTAAGCAATGACTTCCGGATTTCACGTAAATGAATGGAGCAACCAAGGCGTTATTTGCAATTTGCAAACTGTGAGGTCATCAGGTTCTTCAATTAGGTTAAATCGTAGATAATACATCGGTTATAGACAGTGATTATTTTGTATTGTAACAACATGTGTAGCTTTCGGTCCCGTTTTTTCTTAAATTATTGTTGGGAGTACATTGTGTGTGTACATCCTCCGTTCAACATTTTCGTAGACTAATCTGCCGAAGTTGATGAGTTATGAGCCAAAAACCAAACTTTAGTTCCTTTTGTAAAGCAAAGGTCTCCTCACCTGCGTGCAAGATCTTCCAATATTCAAGTCGATATCTTCATTTTTACTGTCAAGAGAATGCTTACAATACACATTACACAGACGGGAAGACGGACATGCTTAAATCGATTTAGAATTTGATGCTGATCAGGAATACGTATACTATGTGTTGTCTCCGATTGTTCCTTCTGGCCGTTGCAAACGTTTTCTCAAAATGAATATACCCCTTAATCTTCGGTTATGAGTATAAAAATGTAGTAGATTATAAAAAAAAAAAAATATGTATATATATTTATAATGCCAAAGCACTCTTTCCAGCAAAACTTTTTTCTTCTTTTTTCTTTAATTAAAAGAAACTTCTATTATTATCTGAATACAACGATTTTTTTCTGTCTTCATTAGATATTCTATATATTTTTCCGATCCCATTCGTAATAAGGAAGCAGTCAATTATTATAGATGATTTTCTGGAGAACAGTTTATTTGCTTAAAATATTTTCAATTGTGTTTAGTTGTATTTTAATAGTTCAGCATAGCTTATGTCAAGATTATCACGAATATGCGAAATATGTTGTGTCGTTAAGGAAGCAAAGGGAAAAGAATTTCGGCGAATCTCATTTTTGTGCTGCTACTATAATTAAAGACGACATGGTATTGACAGCAGCAAATTGTGCATTGCAATCGTAATTCTAAATAATTGCAATATTTTTTTTCCCTTCAATTTATATGAATTCAATTCATTTCATTTTTAAAGGAGGCATGGTAAACCGCTTTGGCACTATAAAGTAGTTACTGGGGCACCGATACGCACAATACCATCCGATGGGAGTGGAGAGCGGCCGTGGCTCTATTTTGAAGTTTACGAAGTATCAGCTGACTTTGAAAGGACTATTGATTTAGCCATTATACGGGTAACGCCCATATTTAATTTAGGTTCCGATGCAGTGGCAGTCATACAACTTGCTATGAATTTGTACGAAGGTGGCGAAGAGTGCTATGTAGGTGGTTGGGGCGATCAAAAGGTAAATGACTTCAATCAATCAATGACTTCTCTCTTATGAATTGTATTTTCTTTTCTTAAGATTGGCTATGATGACCATATCAGCTTCGATAAGGTGACATTATCCTCCGATTCCACGTGTATAGACACCCATCCTACTTATCATTTCGATATAACATGCGCTTCTAATTCTTTTGATCCCGTATGTAAGATGGATTGGGGCGGCCCGCTTATTTGTTCAGGAAAATTAACCGCTGTTCTTGTAGGCGGCGAATATTGCGGCGAAAAGAAACCCTGTATATACCACAGTGTAGTAAAATATTTTCACTGGATTAACAGAACTGTAAAGGAATTATCTCAAAGAGAACCTCGATCCGGTGCACGCTCTTCGACCTTGTTTTGCGGATCTATGTTAGTAACGCCTTGCGGACTTATAATTTTGCACAGTTTTCGTACGTAAAAGAAAGCAAAGAGAGCCCATTAAATAATAATAGATTAGAGAAATGTAGGCCATTAATGTTAATGATAAAAGTGGGAAATGTTAGCAGCGAGCTCTGAACCTAGCAAAGAATATAGAGTGGGGATAGGATATTGAATATTTATCTCCAGAGCAAACATACATAATATCATTTTTTTATTCAATACCATACTAATAGAATGACCCTTTTCACGTTAGACCGTTTCGGGCTTTTCATCTACCTTAGTGAAGAATTTTTTCCTCCATTCAAGTCTACTTAGAAACAAGTGCAAAAGTCGCCAAATTAAAAGTTTGCAGCCTATTTGCAAATCTGCAGTAATGAAATGCAAGGTGCACGTTCAACTGCACGTAAGTATGCGTAAATAATTAATTTTTTTTAAGTTAGGTATTTAATGCAAGTTCAAGCTGCCAGTTAGGTTCTTGATGCACGACTATTTATGTAACAGATTATATGCTGCCCATTATTTAAAGCCCTATGATGATAAATATGATATATGATATATAGTATGATATATGTTCAAAATTTTTTTCAGAAAGTATGGACTTGCACCGATGTGCGAAAATAACTTCAAATTTTCATTATAAAAATATGTTCGAACGATTTTGTAGTAAAAAATATCTGCTTATATACAAAATTTGATTTGTTTTACTTCTTTTCTGGAAAGAAAGGCAGCGGCACCTCCACTCAAAAAATGAATTGTCCGACATTTTGCTCGAAAAAGAGTATGCAGACATTGGTTTCAACCGTATACCAACAACATATTTACCTGAAATAAGCTCAAACAATGCCTTGATGTACATTGTTGACAAAACATTTACATGGACAATGCATTTGATATTTAGAATAGGACAAGCATCATGTTGGCAGCACTCTTTATGCACATCTTACATTATCTAAATTATGATTCATTTTTCTTATAGTCAAGTAACTATAAAAGGTGCAAATAATGTGCGCAGTAGTCTCCATCGACTTAATTTTTTGGTTTTTTTTTTATCATTTACTCCATGGATGTCGCCTGATCAGAAAGGATTAAATAGATTGGAAGGGAAAAGGGGAATCGCATTTGTATACGTTCGTCTTTAAAATGCAAACATCCGAAACGGTGGCAAATGTCGCTGCATGGAAGTTGCTCCAAAGTCTTCTCTGCCGCAAATATACATCAACTCAATTTTCCATTCAATACCAAAAGCATTCTTTTACTGCTCCTAGCAGGTATACTCGGCGCTATTCTCCAATTATGTTATCGCAACGCTTTACCGTAACTTTGACCTTTGTAATAATTTTAAAGATTTTTTGCCCCAATGTAGAACGATGATTATCATCTCTTTGACGTGGCCACGGACTCGTGCGATACTCTTAAGAAGACCCTGATTGTCTTGTGTATTATTTATATTTTTTCTCAAATTTAATATATTCACAGTTTTAAGCTTATTATTAGCCGATGCTGACGTTGTTCTTCTCATTTTTTGAGTATAATCATCAAAAGTTATCTCTCGGTGCTTAAATTGGCTAAAAATATGACTATATTTGTGGCGAGCTTTTGTGCGGATCATTGAGTGATCCTTTTCACATTATAACTTTTGCACTCACTTTAGTGAACGATTTTTTCATTTATTCAAGTCGGCTTAGAAACAACTATATAACAATTATCAGACAGAAATACCCAAAATCTGTCAGAGTTAGAAGTGTGAAAGCAGAGTTTATTTACACTGCCATTTATTTTATCGATTTTGTTATGATGAAATTTTCTTTATATTTGATAAGTTTTTATATTATACAAATTTCAAATTGCAAGACTCATGTTGTCCAAGTGAAATCTAGAGAATACCCATACGCTATCTGTGTTGGTGCTAGAATAGGCGATCATCTAATACTAACAGCTGCCAAATGTTTGTGAGCATATATATACAAGTTTATGTATCCCAAAAGAAAAACAAAACCTCTCCTAACCAATTTCTAGTGTCGATGAATATGCACCGTATAGTGTGGTTAATGTAGGCGCTAAAAAATATCAAGTTCGTTATGCCCTGAGACATGCTGAATTCCGAGATAGGCAAATGGATAATATTGGTGTAATTAAGATAAGAGAATATATATCGACGGACGACGTTGTAATTACACAATGCGCACAAAAGCGTCAGGACGCTAATGATAGGTGCACGGTTGATGATGGAAAATTTAGCATGGTAACAAATTTTGAATTATGCCTAAGAACATGTTTGAGAAATTTGATCGCTTCTCTCGCTTAGGCTGTTTTGGTGGTTGACGAAAAGTCCTGTCGTAGAAGAGGAGTCGGCGATATGTGTTTCGTTTATGAAACTACTAAAAATTGCGATATTACCACTGGAGCCCCTATACTGTGTCATGGTCGGTATATCATTTTCTTTATATAATATATGCAAATAATGAAAAAATGGAATTAGGTCATGTCGCGGCTATATATATAAAATATCATGATTGCCTAGAGGACACAAATGTGTCTTTCCCATCAGTATATAAATATAAGGATTGGATCAAATTTGTTGACGAACAATTAGATGATGACGACACGGTTTATGAAATATATGATACCGACAGTTTGCCTAGATATAATAGTACCAAAAATAATCAGAGCGATTATTACTCCTTTTATAACGATTATGATATTGATTACGTACACGACATGGATGAGTCTGCCCATTTTCTGGCTCAAGATGGCAACTACCCAGATTATTTCTCAAGTATTGCAGAAAATAAACGCGAAAATATGATCGTTCGTCATACTCTCTTCTGGTATTCTACTATTGTCTACCTGGAATTCTCAATGAAAACATTTTAAAATGAATAAGAAATGTTTGATTTTTTAAAAATGTTGAATGTAAAACGTGACCAAAATGTGACTAAAATAAGACATTATGTGTATTTGCACAGTTACATACTCACAGACAATGTACATATAGCTGTACGCGTATCGTCGGTAGATATGACAGAAAAATGGAAAAATGTAGAAATCATTTAAGTAAATTAAATATTGATTCTGACGTCGAAGATTAACTGTGACATCCTTTAGAATGATGCACGCATATCAAGAAACAAAACAAACCAAACTGGTAGGCACATGCAATTTTTTGGGTGTATCCGATTATTATCGATTATTTATACTGTTGGCAGTCGAAAACGGCAACGTTTTTCAGTCACTTCGTCGTAACGCGGATATGGACGCATCAGAGTGATGATGGTGTGGTTGCTGCTTCGGAGGTTCGACTAAGAAGAGCGGAGCTGAAAGTCCACTTTTCCATTTAATCTCACTTCGGAAGATTGGCATTGCCCATCGTTACGATAGTATCACTTCCGATAACTCTCTCAATTCCGTGTCAAACCACAAAGTTATCTTAAGTAGCTGAGGTAGAATTTAACAAACGTGAAATATGTGTGGGACCAAAACGAACTTTTAGCTTCGGTCGTCACAGCGCTCCAAACTTAGCACTGGAAATTTCTATGTGCGGACACTATTTTGACCTCATTGTCATCATAAAATATTAAAAGAAAAGAAGAAGAAAAGAGAATACCCAAATTATCGATATTCCCTCAAATCCCCTCAAATATCACCGATTTTAGCGATTTTTGTTTAGAAACTACAAATCGAACTTTTTCATATGATGACTTTTTAAAAATGAGGCACTGGGATGAAAGGTCGTAAAAAAGATTAAATCCAATCCATGAGCTAGAATATGTCAGTTTACAAATTTCATGAAAATATCTCGAACATTGCGATTTCTAAGTTGAACGTAAGTGTCGGTGGGCAAACACTAATCTGGCGAACTCATCACATTCCCAAGGTAGGCCGTGTAAGATGAGCTTAAAAACAACATTTAATAGTTGAATGGCAACAATATGTTGGGTATTTTCCTCTAAAACAATGAGCCGCGCGGTAAAGAGACAATGGACACATGTTTTTGGCTTTGTCTCGGCTGAGCTATCTAATGTATGTAAGTGCGATTTTTGTTAAAAGTGAGGTATAATCTTTGCTTTTCCATTTTTCATTTATTTATTTTTGTTTTTCTTTTTCTCTTTATATTTTTACATATGCTCTTCTCTTAAATATTCGTGTAAAATGGAAATTGTATTTAAAATTCTTCTAAAACAATGAAGCTGATTATGATCCTTTCAAAATTTTAATTTGAAATTCCAAAAAGTGCACACATGACATTGAATTCTTTTTAATCCGATTACTGGTTACAACACAACCCTTTAGATACAAGTAGCGCATCTAAAACTAATATGTATATATATTTATCGTATATTTGAAAGCATTTTATTTAACAAACGTGTGCAGACGATTTTTTAGTCATAAAATTTCCAAAAAGCAAACCACAAAAGCTGCTGATTATGCCGAAAAGGAATAAAACTAAAAATGAATTGTGACATGACTACTAAAACCCAGAGTTCGCTACCATTTCCGAGATGTTTATAAACTAATCGAACTGCAATGAAATTTTGAATAAAAATTTATTAAGAACTTGCTAGATTTTATTATCAAATTTTGGATACTGTCTTAGTCATTACATTGGCGTCATAATGCGGACTATGATTTCTAAACTTTGCATGAGAAAGCAAAATATATTTCAAGTACTGCGCGCTATCTACGCGCATTTAGCGTTCATATATTTTTAATGAAATTTGCTTTCGAAAAGCCACACCCACTGCAATGCATCAAAGCGAAATCTTTCCAAACATTCATCATGATAGTAATTTATTTATTTACATGATATAACGAGTATCCAAAATTCGACGAAGAATAGTCTTTGTGTACTTGCTTCTAACTAGTTTCTTACATCAGATGTCAACGTCATTTAATATGATGATACAGTTATGTGTGCAAACTTCTTGATGTGTTGTCATGCGATTCAATGGTAATGAGTTTAAGTTTGCAAAACATTTATTTAACAGTTGAGAAAATATTTTGCCAGTCAACAATGTAAAAGTTTGAGTTCCTTATGTCTTTGCTTGTGTATGCACACATTATTAGGATATCTGTAGAATAAGCTTCTTGATATCATTCTTTTTCAGCTAATTACTTCTCATATGTATTGACATTCGAATCTTTTTTTTTACTAATCCTAGGCTCAATACATTTTTAATGGATTACCAAACGCTTCAAATATTAGAAGCATATATATGTGTACATATAAGAAGATAAAATATGAAAAGCGAAAATTTTCCAATAAAAATTTAATGAGAAAAAAACACAGAATAAAGAGGCTATGTAATTTAAATTATCTTTATACACAAAAAAAAAAAAAAAAAATTATATTAAATGAATATATAAATAAATTTACATTTCATCAAAATTCTGCAAAAAACCAAAACATAACCATTTAATTTTATTGTATTTTCAATGAAATTTTATAAAGAATTTGTAAACAATATACTCAATAAATAAATAATACGAAT